AACCGGCGTCCCACCGATCGGCAGCAGTTCGTCTCCAGTGAGGTGGGGAGAGCCCTTCGTGAAGACGAACAAAGTCTGCAAATGGGTGATAAACACCTAGTAACGATGTGATAATGAAACAACATCAAGGGATACCTGCCATACCCTCGATCAGGCCTCCAGGGCAGGTATCGAGGGCGTTGAATTGAAAGCAATGGACGACCTCATGGACGAGGACACCCATGATCTCATCGCGAGCGCGTTTCGCTGATCCCTTGATGTAGTCCAAGGAAAAATGGATTTCCTTGTGGAATTGGGTTCCAAATGTGTGAGCCACACCCTCCATGGGGCGAAGGACAAGCAAGATCTGCGTTACACTAGTACAGCAACGATTAACGATGGCACTGTTAAAATGAACGAATAAACGCCTACTTCCTCGGTGCTGTCTCTGGGGTATACAGCCATTTGAAGCTAGCAAGGATCGCCTCGCGAAGGGCAACTTTGGGCTGGACAGCATTGAGGAAGATATCGGCGCCTTCATGGTCCAGGTCGTCGATACGGAGAAGGAGTTTCGGGATTGGCCAAGGACGCTGAGGTGGTGGTGAAGGGGCAGGCGCCATGTGTGTGTTTAATCACGGTCGTCAGGTGACGCTAATTTCAATTTGCAGAATCGCGACGCGCCGAGGGGACAAAAATAAAGATGGCAAGTAAAATATATGACTAAGAATACATTGATATGGTATGGGTCATTACTTTTTGGATCCATGTGTGGTATATGGCAAGTAGGAGAGTATATCGAAAGCGTCATCCGAGGTCATGATATGGGTCGTCGAATACCAGCTGCGGTCTCCACCCTGATGACCTCCTGTTGCAACGAATCTCGGCCTTCCTCAAGCCAACGGCAGTATTCCACCGCGCGAAACAAAACGCCACTCTTTCCTTTGCTCTGGCCTTTGCCGCGGCTGCCGCTTCCTTTTGGACGACCCCGCGTGGGCATGCCGATCCCGGGGGCAGACCCTGCAGGTGCCATGAGTGCAATCAATTGCGCGTAACCGTCGCGTATCGCGTTTCGTCGCTTCTGCTCGGACATGATATGATTTAGACGTTTCTGTGGTGTTGATAGCAGAGGCTTTGCGCGAGGGGCAGAGGTGCGCGGCGGTGGGTCGGGGTTGGCTGAAAAGGTGGGTGTGGTAGCAGAGGAGGACTCTGATGTGGTACTGCGTGCTTGGCTTGGGCCCCGGTTATTGAATTCTAATTGCCTCTCGTCCGTTTGCTGTGAGCCACGGGCAGATCCATTCCGCTTGCTCGCGCGCGAAGAGGTGGATGGCTCGGGGACAGTATTTAGATGAGGATTCGAGTAGGGTGCGATGGGGGGTGGAACATGCTCATATAGCGGTTGTTCTGGAAGAAATTCATTCCCAGCAATGTTGTTAAAGTCCCAGCCAAAGTCGCCAAAATTGTCGAGGAAGCCGAGGAGATCTGTGGTCTCTGAGGGCGAGAAGAGGTCTGCAGAGGATGGAAGTGGGGGTGGGTTTGGGAAAATATTTGACAAGGTTGGATCGAAGGTGAATTCGAAGTCGGCGAAGGGAACTGGAGGATGAAGCGGGGAATGGGACATTGCGGGGTAGAGATAGGCAACGAGAAGAAGACGAGCTTAAGAGCAAATCTCTCGGATCCCGGGTATCTATTGTGCCGCGTGACCGTGACCCGACGGAGGATGCCGGGATGTGACGGAGTCAACGGTGGTTGCCCGTAATTTGCACCTCCGTCTCCTCCTAATGTCGGCCATCCCCACAGACGAGCCGGCCCAAGACGCCCCGCCGTCCATCGATACTCAGCATCTCCAGCAGCTCCATCAGGAGGTCCAGCAACAACAACCAGAGCCAACCAGAAAACGCAAGTCAAGTCCCCTAGTTATTTTATTATTCCTCCTCTCATCTCCCTTCTAGCCAAAGCACCGTCCGTGCGGAGGGCTTGCATTGCATGTCACACTGGTAAAACAAGATGCAGCGAGGTCTTGCCTTGTCAGGTCCGTTTCCGACCGTTGCTATCCTCCCTTTTTCTCACTTTCTCCACCAGAGTTGTCTCAAACGGGGCCTGGGTGCTACCTGTACCTATCCAGATCCTGATGCTCAAGATCAACAAGCCCACCATAACTCTTCAGGTTCATTTGATGCTCGCAACCCACATCCGTACCTTTCCTCACTGTCCGTTGTTACAGCTGCGACCAATGTCCAATTTGCGCCCCCACCACCCATGTATGCAACGTTGCAAGGCACCCCAAACTTGTCTCATCAACAATATTACGACTATAATGGTACTTTTACCGGCGCTTCCACCTCCACCTTTCGTCCAAACAAACGCCCACGTAATCTGACCGATGAAGAGGCCGCCGCCATCACTCGCAACTTTACCCGTGGTGATTTCTACGTTGGCTCCAGCGCTCCCGTCAGAATCGACCCCCGTCTGCCTGTCAGACTCACTCTTGGTGAGGGCGATCACGTCCATTTCACCATCGGCGAGTCCCTCGGAAGCCTGGCCTGACCATCCATGCCCAATTTTATTTCTCTCTCTCCCTTGTAGTTTTATCGTTGCACTTTTTTTGTCGTTTTTTTGCTTATGGCTTTCTGTACAGTATCTACCGCCTCTTTCCTTTTTGGAGTGATCTGAATATACGTGTCTCGTGTAATGACTTCGTAAGAAAACATTGACGTGGCTTCATCTATTTACGCTGGGCGCACCGGCGGCAATCATGTCTCGTAATAGAATGCAGAGTCGGCGAGGCTCCTCCATGAACTCCCCAAGATATTCGTTGTAAGCCAGCCTGACCTATGCCTTCCTGGATCTGCTGATTGATATTTCAAAGATCATGCATTGAGAGCGAGCCTCAAAGTTCAGAGCAATGGATATCCAAACGCTATTGACGAACGATGTGTTCCCTGAAGAGAATCTTGCTCAGCTCAAACTTGAACGTACGGCAGCATCCACAGAATTAGCGCTTCTTGAAGCAGAGATTGCATTGGCGGAGCTTGACCTCGAATCAGAAAGCGCCGAGTCTCCAACCTACAACTTTTTCATTGCACGCAACAGGCGTCGAAACCTGCGCGCCCTCATCGCAGCTTGCAGCGTTGCAACCGCACCACAGAAATATCTCCCAGCCGAATTGCTCTCCTACATCTTCCAACTCTCATTCGCCGGGTACCCCACAGATCTCCCGCCAACAGGCCGGAATATAAATCCCTTGGCCCTGTGTCATACGTGTTCGCGTTGGCGCAGAATTGCGTTGAATACGCCCGAGCTGTGGACCGATGTGGTGTTTCGATACGGCCGCGGACTGGACCCATACACAACACTGGACCTCGTCGAGGAATGGTATACACGGAGTGGTCCGTCGACATCGCTTTCATTGGGGTTCAGTCCTTGGACATACCACACATATCGGTCTGACCATGAGGAGATTATGCAGGCCGTTCTGCATCGATTAGTAGTCCCCTATGTTCACCGGTTTCGGCACTTGAAGTTGCAGTTGCCAAGAGCAGAACTTCAAAGCCTGATGACCATGCCTAACCTCTCCTTTCCTTTGCTCCAGTCCCTCCAGCTCGTTCGAGACCCCTGGGTAAAGGAAGGCCACGCTCGTGTAAAATACAGACCGACGAATGGGAGTTTCTGTGCCAATGCTCCACGGTTAACGGACCTCGAAGTTCATAACTTTCACATCTCCTCATTCATGGACACCAGATTCTTCCCATGGACGAGGCTCACGCGTTTCTTCTCTGACAACACGCACATGAGCGTCTCCCAGAGTCAGACCATACTACGAAAATGTCACAAAATTGTCGAATTTGCGTTGAGCCTCGATGTCATGTCGCGGGGGAACGAACAAGCGCCTGTCCTCATTCCACACATTGAGCTCCCATATCTGAGGCGGTTCGACGTTACGTTTGCGAATGAAGCCCATTCTCTCATGCGACCGTTCTTTGAGCCATTATTCATTCCCGAGGTCAAGGAATTAAACATTCGCAGCGTCGAGAAAATGAGTGTCTGGGACTCTGCCCCACTCATGTCACTCCTAGGCAGATCGTGCTTCGATATCGAGATCCTCCACATTTGGAATTTCCATCTCAGTGGAGAGGTAGTTGCTGAGCTTGTGCACACTTTGCCCTCGCTCTGCGTCCTACTGGTAGGAGTCGAACATCTCTTACCCAAAGGTACACTTGAGGAAATCGCCAAAGGCAGGTTGCTTCCAAAGTTGAGATCCCTGGTATGCCGTATTGACGATATCGAAACCGCGGTTCAACTGATTGAGAACCGTTTGGCTGGGTGCGAGTTGGGTGGGACGTTTGCCCGGCCTTCTTTTTTTATGTTGGATTATATATCTAGACAATCTATTACTCACGATCAGGCAATTAGAGTAGATCGTTTACGGGAAAATGGTGTTGAGGTTGAGATAACTCGGTTGTGTACATAGAAGGAGAAACTCGGAGCAAGTAGCTTGGGGAAGGTTCCTTGAGCAATGATTGGAATTTTCTCGGTCTGGCATTGTGCGGTAAGTATGCTTGGATATATCATGCAATGCATAGGAATCGAGGCCAGAGCATGGCCGTCAACGCAACAATTTAACAGCCACTCAGGTCACAAACTGCCGCCGACCTGCATGCAAAGTTTGAGGCCGGCGCATAGAGGAACGTCAACCGACGACTGTCTAAAATCAGAAGCAACTAAATAAGAACAAGCCAAAGCTGAAAGCAACCTAGCTCAAACGTAGCTAATCAGAGGGCTGTTTAAATTATTGTCCCGAGACGAAATTTGCGAGTGTGCCAACATTGGTTTATGTCAGAGATTGAAGCCAGTCCAAGTTTGTAGTCTTTCAAGTTATCACCAGTCAAGTTTCGAAGTTGTCCCCAGGAGATCTATGGTTTGTATGAAGCCAGTCCAAGTTTGAAGTAGTCTTTCAAGTCATCTCCAGTCAAACTAGTCATCGTGGGAGATTTGTATGTAGAGATGGCTGAGGAAGAAAAAAATTCCCCCTAGCCGACTTGAACGGACTGACCTCGTCATAGAGGTGATTACGTAATGTGTATTACGTAATGAGTCTACTAGTGACGCGCTCTACCACTGAGCTAAGAGGGAGATATTAGATGCTAATTGCTTGGAGATATGGTAGGGATGATGAAGCTTTCAAGGGAAAGAGATGGATCTTAATGGATGTTTGCATGCTGGGATTCCATCAAAAAGGTCAAAAAAGAAAGGAAAAGAAAACCACGAACAATAGTGAATCATCTAGCCTCATATTCTTCATCCAGTTGAAGAGAATGAACGCTTCGATACTCATGCCGAGACCTTCATCCCATCCAGTTATAAACCAATCCAGGTCCTGTGCAATGATCATGAATATATGCTGCAAAGAGAAGAAAAAAAAATGCGTACTTTCCACTTGAGGACTTCACCGGTTGCAGCATAAGATGCATGTTCCAAGACAGTGGAGGGACAGACGCCCAGCGCAAATAAGAAGCATCCAATGGCCATCGTCTGTATGCACTTGTGGGGACAGTTGAGATAAACTTGCCATCATCAAAAAAAAAGAAAACAAACCATATAATTGTTGATAAAGTTGAGGTTGGGGTTCAGGAGACCAGCTGTAAATTCCATGATATCACATCGACGAAGCTTTCGCTTGGGTTTCTTGGCCACTGGGAGGACTTTGTTGACTTTGGCGAGTTCAGCGATATACTATAGAATAGGTGAAGACGGATTTTAGGAATGAAAATAAGCGCATACATTCAGCAAGTCTTGTCGTTGTTCATTTGTGATAGGCTTTGTTAATCGGCGTCTCCTCTGAGATCCAGAACTAGTACCAAAAGGCAAAAAAAAAAAAAGAATACACTAACCATGCCCTCCATGGAAAGAACAAAGTCTCGTGTGGTATGGTAAGACCAGCCAGAGATGGACTTCATTTGGAGGCCTGAACGACCCTTCCTGGCGATGTTTCCTATAAACAGCTTGAGCTCTTGGATTGGGTGGAGCTCTGCATTTTTATCCAATGTGGCGTTTCCCTTTTGGACGTCATTGTAACGCCAGCAAAAGTAGGCAAGCCAAAGGTCACATATCCTGGCGTATTACGAGTCTTTTATTTATAAAAGCTCGTCCTTTACCCCACGCTTTCCGCGAGGGACTATTATTCCATTATCATGGGAAATACTTACGTAATCCATCAAAAACCTCGGTGGTCCTCCTTTTGTCCTCCTTAAATACCTCATTTACTGGGTTCCCCCGCCATTCCCTTGCTTCAATATCAGTACAATTCACCTGGGAAGGTACAACAGTATTCTAATTTAATTTGCATGAATGTTACACATGTAGAAATTATTAACCTTCCATTTTAACTTCTGTTTTTTTTGTGAATGAACACTCAAGTATAATTAGCATTGTTCATGTGGCCCTTTTAATCTTTGATAAATGAGTCTGTTGAATGTTGTCTGAATGGTACTGTACTTCATATCCGAATGGTGTTTGTGGTATGCTGGTTATACACAATGTGCACAGAAAGATAATAGACCACCAAATATGGTGGCATTATCTGAAATTTGGTACAAAAATTGTCCTTTTTAGAAGTTATTCATATCAATTTCCAATTTGAGTATAATCTTTACATATTTAGTCACCCATTATTTTTTCTGTGCACGTCGTGTTATATAAGCGACTCCAAGATGAGTCGCTTATATGAATGTGCACTTTAAAAATCTCTAAAATATTCCCACGGATCAAACTTCATCAAAGTACCAGGAGAATTTATTCCTGAATGATAGATTCAGGGCTGGGCCTATCTTTGAATTGGAGGAGGTCATAGAGAGCCATGATTTGATCGCCCTAACGGTTGAGAAAGAAAACATTAGGAAAAGGTCACGCAAACAAAGACACGTCGAGGCTTACCTTGAGCCCTCGTCTTCATCACCTTCAAACTCTTGCTTGCCATCAACATGTGAATTCGGATACCCTAGGCCCAGGGAAGAGCCCGAGGAACCTAGTTCACAGTGTCATGTTGGAAATCGGCTTCAGCTTCCATTCAAATGTGCATGCTGCTCGCCGCAGGGCCTCTATACAGAGAAAAATCAGTATCAAGAAAATCAACATGATGATCACAACGTACCATGCCAGTCGCAAGGAGACAGCTTGATCCCTCACCATAATCCTCGACATTAACAACCTGCCCGATCCGCAATCTCCCTCATCCAATAAGCCCGCGACCCTCTGGAAGGGCAGGTGCAGGTGCAGTAGCATGTTTTGAGCTTGTGGGAATCGGTGGTCAGGCCCACATCCCTCAGGAGAGGGGAGGGGCGCTGGGTGGGGTGATCACATCGGCGGTGGTGGTTGGGATGAACGAGGAACAACGGTGATGCGGTTTGATGTCAGATACAAACTCCGCTCCTGGACTTCTGGCTCATTGTTCAAACGTTACCATTTATAAAGGTCGCTATGATCGAACATGCCATGTTCGATCATTAATTTTCAGTGTTTTTACTTACGCGCATTAGGTGTGTTCTGGGACGTTACAAAATGGATATGATACGATGAGGTAAGGGACATCAAATTTGAGGTCGCTTACACAAGCACTCTCCTGCACTTGAAATACGCCAGTGTCTGTATATGCTCACAATGGGCGCTACACCTGCGTACAGACCTCCAAAGCAAAAGCAGGTGTACCCGAGATTGAAGTATGCTGCTGTCCTCGTGGCTTTGTTCGTCGGCCGACAGGGGAATAACTGGCTGCGAGGAGTGAACCGAAGGTTCGCGACGAGCAGCGGGGCTTTTGAAAGCCACAATAACCAGAACTGAGAAAAGAGATTCTATATTACATTAACCTTGCTGCGAGGAGTGAACCGAAGGTTCGCGACGAGCAGCGGGACTTTCGAAAGCACGATAAACGGATCTGAGAAAAGATTATATTATATTAACCAGTTCGCGACGAGCAGCAGCCTTTGTTTTTTGAAAATTAGGTCGGTGAAAGTCCCCAAATAGGTCGATGAAAAGCAGCCCCAAAAGAAAGAAAAAGAAAAGGTAAAAAAGACTCGTATTCGCCATGCACAGCAATGGCCCTCATTCCTAGTTTGTCTAGAGTTGAGGCTGCCAAGGGCCGGAGATGAGTTTTTACGAGAGCGGCCAGTTGAGCTTTCAGTTTTTCAGGGTTGCTGGCATACTCTTGCTCGAACTCTGCAAAGATGTCGCGTTTGCCGTTTCGTCCAGCGTAAATGCCAGTGAGGACTGGGGGAGCGGGAGCTGATTTTGAGGAAACTATGATGGGCTTTCTGGAGGCCGGGGTACCTGGCAACAGGAATGCGCCACGCTTTTTTGGAGGCATGGTGGGTGGGGAGAGGGAAAGGAGGGAATGGATATCATCTTTCTTGTTTCGAGCTTCTTCGTTAGCATAGATGGTGTCAAACGAAAAAAAAACACCAAAAAAACATGTGGGAATACAATTATTGTCTACTGCACGTGACGTGATGATTACAAACCCTCCATCAACTCTGTGAGACCGATTGTATGCAAGAGGTAGTTGAGGGCCTGGTCTGATTCCTTGGAGCTGGGAGGAGATGGATTGCGTTTAAAGGTAGCGAGGAGGGCGCAAAAGGTGACGGAATGACCTGTGATGCCAGAAGGGTTATGGTGGGTTTGTATGTCCCAGGTTGGATCCAAGAGGACGGTGCCGCCAAACTAGAAACTTGTGTCGAGGTGAAAAAGAGGACGGCAAGGGACTTATGTGGTCATATAGGGACAGAAAGCTGTTCCTGGACTTTGTTAGATAGGCGTGTCTTGATATGAAGGGTCTGCGAAGTTCTTCAAGGTCGATCTGTGCACGCTTGCGAGCGTCGGGATCACTGTCGTGATCCTTTTCCCATTCTTGGAGGAGTTCAGTGTTTTCAAAGCGATCTAGGTGGAGGTTGGGAAAGAGCAGCTGGAGATGGTCAGATTTGAGTTTGCGGCCATTGGGAACACGCTTTAGTGCATTCCACTGTCGCATGAACTTGATGGTTTTGATGGCGCGATGGAGATAATCGACAAAGAGGGTAGCGGCTTGGGCTGGCTGGGCTCTGTGAAGATGGAGGTCACAGGAGAGAAGCGAGTCAGGATCAGACTGTCCATCACGGGCGATGGATTGGTTGACGAGGGTGGCGATGGTAGTGGGAAGCTGGGCGAAATCTGCGAAAACAATGTCCTGGTATCTCTTAGAAAGAGAGAGAGTGAGAGAGAGAGTGAGAGAGATGGACCCAGTCTTCCTGTTCCATAGCCCAGTACCCAGACAAGAGTCGAAGAAATCTGTCATCTTCTTCTTGACTGTGCTGATATTTTCGTGGTGTGGTAAGCAGTTCACGGAGCTGAGTGGGCGATTTCTTGACAAGTGGGGGGGCTTTGATGGATTGGTATCATGCGGTGGCGTCGTTGGCATTTTTTTCTGTATTGTGAGGTTGGCTGTGAATGGACTGGTGAATGAGAGAGACGGACGTACATTGCGGGGCCGGGGTGCGGGTGCGGGTGGTGGTGTGGGCATCAGTGTGGGCGTGGGCAATAATGACGGTGTTGTCGGTGTCAGTGTCGGTGTCGGTGTCGGTTGAGCAAGGGCATCAGCAGCTGCAAGAGCCTCTGCACTCAGGGTGCGGAGGAGTCGTACGCATGTTGCAGCAGTTTCGGGAGAGGAGGATGCAAAGAATGGGGTGATTTGTGAGTAAATGCACTCGAGGGCGGTGGCATGGTCATGGTTCATGGAAGAGAGGCATAGTGGTGGGCATCGTGGGCGTGCAATACCAATTCGATGAAGAACTTTTGCCTGCTGTTGGTGCAGGTATACCCACGTGATGACGCACGTCCCAAAATAGAAAGTCTCTCCTAGTTCGGTCTCTCCTAGTTCGGTCTCTCCTAGTTCGGTCTCTCCTAAAGAAAGTCGTTCAGCGACCACCCTGGGCTTTGCCCACCAAAAAAGAAAAAGAAAATACCTTGGTAGCTTCGCGCACCGAAAAAGGTCTTGGCCTCGTGAAAAAAGAAAAGATCTCCCAAGTGACGCGCTCTACCACTGAGCTAAGAGGGAGATATTAGATGCTAATTGCTGTGGGATATCATAGGGATGATGAAGCTTTCAA